TAACTGCTTATAAATCTTATCTCTCGTTGACCCTAACCCCCCCGATTGTCTTGTAACGGGATCTCTAGCCAATAACACTGATACATGGAAAAGTTATCTCATTATTATTGTGTTATTGGTTGGAGATAGTAAAAAGTGTTATTCTTATTATATGAGAGTTTATCTCCCGTAGTAGATTACTTACTATCAGTATGAAAATTATGTTGTCATTTCCTAGACTCTAGTATATGTTGGGAATTAGTGTGTGAATATTGTTTACTGGAAGTTTTGGCGCAACATATTCAATCTCGGATTTTCAAAGTATGACTTGATCGATACGAGGAACTTAATTTCAGGTAAATCATGATATAATCATGCATTCATTATAGGATTCCTAGTTGGAGCTATTTTCAATTAAGAATTTTTATATTAACCCTTTTTAAAAAAATAGAATTAGATTTTATCTCTTGAGATTACTTTCCTAGTTGTACTCTATTTTGTTTTGAGTTAAAATATTATTTTTTTCATTATCTTTGACTTGGAGAGTATGGTTCTTTTAATACCCAAACTGGTTTCATTGAGTAATATTGTGGGCTTGTATAATCTGATAGAATTGGAAGGTAATCTTGAACAGGGAATAAGATGACGAAATAGAATAGGACTTTGATTCAATTAAATCTGATTAGGCACGTTTGTGATACCTTGGTTTTATGAATTGTCTCTTGCAAGATAACAACATGATTGTATAAAGCCAAGGCGTGCATCAAACACTTTAATCATTCATATTGCATTCATATGCATGTCGGTGACTCATACGATTGAGGGCACCAAGACCATAGTGGCGGTTTTCCTCCAGCGAGCTTGAAGTAATCGTAACCAGTATTGCGTTCAACATAAGGAGTATCGAAGATCATCACATGACAGAAATTGAGTTACGAAGAAGTTGGTAAACATTATCTAGAATATGTCTAGGATAAGTGTGTGAGTATTTCTTGTAATCATCGTTCTATAGTGGATTTGTGTTGGACTGAGGAGTCCCGTGGATTTTCCCCATAGGTGGGGTTTTACCATGTAAAATAATTCTCTGTGTGTTCTTTTATTTTATACCTAGCACGTTTCAGGATTGATAATATCAATCCTGCTACCGAAGTTCATTTTTTGTTTATTGATTATAATCTTAAATTGGCCTTTTCGCCCCCCTCTAGACATTTTTAGTCATCCTATAGGTAATTTCACTTACTTTGTGATGTGCATCTTATATATTTACGTATTTGGTGTATTTGTATATGTTGAGTTTGTGTAAGGCCAATAATTGTCAATTGACTTGACAACACATAACATAAGGGCACCAAGGTGTATCTTAGGACTTGTCCTACGTATTATTATACTCAAATACATGTTCCTTTTGCTATTCTATACAGGCAAAGGGATTCCGTTCCAGTGCGGTTGAATAGTATAATCAAATTATTAATAACATCAATAATAATCAAATTATTAGGATGCCAAAATCTTAAATTTTATTGCAAATGACTTTATCATTTGAAATTGAGGATTTTTCCATCAGCATTTTCTTCTTCACAAACCTGGTTCTTAATACCATGTTAACATAAGAATTCTTCCTCGCAAACTTTATATGTATATATATATATAGAGAGCTTCAGTTAAGGGATTTTTTAAATAAATTTATTTGATAAATATCCTTGTAGGGCTCACTCTGTATTGTATTTCACTAATTCAATCTATCTCTTTTGTAGATATTCATTCAAATATCGTCTTTAAAAAAAATCACTTGAATCCGATATCATTTGACTACTCAATTGAATTATTGAAATTTTAATACTTTCTTGAAGCACCATGTTTACTAATTTTGTAGGACACAATTGGATGTCGAAACGATTTCCGATTTGTCTAATTTTTTGAAAGGATAATCTATGAATGTAGACTTAAAAAAATAGATCGTTTGGATCGTTGAAAAAAAAATCATAAGGAACCTTAAAGGGTGTCCCTCAAATAAAATTATTTGAGGGATCCCTCAATAAAAGGGGACTATATATATATAAGGATGCAAGTTAGATATATTATAACCAAGGATTAAAATATCGATAATATTGACAAAATATCGAGGATATTATCGTTTTTTTGGGTCTATGATATTTTGGAACACATCCATACACATATCGTATAAGTATCTATAATATTGGAAAATATCGATGTTAATAATTTCTCTCACACTTCAACAACATTTGGCCAAAATATCGATAATATCGAGATGACGAAGACATTGAAAAATTTGAAGAGTTATTTACACTAACACCCCCTGAGGTTTCTTGTGTTTTCACAAAACCTCCTCAAGTCTCAAAAATTACACAAACACCCCCTCAGGTTTCAGTTTGTTTTCACAAAACCTATTTTCATTGATTGTTTGTCTAAAAATTGATGATTTCATTGAAAAAAAAACTTATGCAAATGACAAAATTAACCTCAATGAAGTACTCAAAGGCCAACTTTGTCATTTGGAGAATTTTTTGTAAAAAACATCAATCTTTGGATGAAAAATCAATGAAAAGGAGTTTTTTGAAAACAATTTAAAACCTCATGGGGTGGTCATGTAATTTCTAAAACCTCAAGGAGTTTTGTGAAAAAGCCAAAAACCTCAGGGAGTGTTAGTGTAAATAACTCAAATTTGAACCTTATAGGAACTCCATGTGGTACTAAGTCATTTATGTATCTTGACATGCAATGTATAAAGTGTAAAATGTTGTACTAAATCATTATACATAAATGATTATGGTATGTTTAATCTTCTTTCATTAATTAGTACATAGTTTCTACACTCGCAGTGTTTGTTAACTCGCTATATAATTAACTTAAATCAGTTAAACTCATCATGCATTACATTTCCTTCCAATTTTTTTTAATGATAAAGTAATGGATAATAGACTAAATAAACATCCTCCAAAGTTTCATGAAAAATTTCCAATTTTTTCTTACAATTTCCTTGATTTTTATTCAATTTTTATCAATATCGACAATTTTCCAATATTTCCATTGAAATTTTCGTATTTTTAAACCACTAATATTTCCAAAACCATAAATATTTTAGACCTTCAAGCATATGTAAAGTGGCTATTTGTATTTTGGTTAGTTGAACTACATGTATAACTGGGGCCATTGCCATTGGGTGTTGTATATCCTTATTCAATGTCAGCCGTATCACCGTATCAGAAGGAGTGCTGCTATTTCCACCCACTTGTCCTATTTCCCCACCTACCTTATCTTCGCACCCACCATGTAAATTTGAAAAAACACAATCCTATCTTTCCACCCACCATTATTCCTAAAATACCCTTTATAAACCATCTTATGTGGCATGCCAACTCATCTAATACAACTATTTCTTTTTTTCTTTTTTTATAATTACTATATCCAAATTAAAGCAATAATTACCAAAAAAGTCTTTCCATCTGCCTCTTTCTTCTTCTCCCCCACCCTCTTCCCACAAAATTTCCATTATCGCCAGATTTCTCATCGGCGCCGCTAAACCTATCTCGCTCACTCATTCTCCCATGATAGTTCCCTCTCTTCACCATGGCAATTGTATCGGATTTCTCACTGCCGTTGCATCATTATTAATGCCTCTCTCGACTTCTATATTTTCTAGATATATATATGAAGATAATTGGTTTAGATGATTACATTGTTCTGGGTGTTTGGGATACAATAACTAATAATTGTAAAACCTATCATGAACCGATTTGTTTGAAGACTTCAACTAGGAAAGTTATTGAGATATTTGTTGTGGCGATGAAAGAAAAGATTTTTTTTTCTTCATATTTGTAGGAAGAGTTTAGTTGAATTTTTTAGATGGTCTCAAGAGGATATAAGGTTCTATAGGATTAGCCCTTTGAATTATCCAGCAGTACTTGAATTGATGTAGAGAGAGAATGATGACTGTATTGATGTGATTTGCGGCACCAGTGAGAATAGCAGATATAATGGAATCTCCAAGGAGAACAGGATGATGAGGGGAGGAGGAGGAAGACGGAGGGTTCAGGGTTCAGGATTAGAAGTCGGACATAGAAAAAAAAAAAAGGGTAATTGTTTGTGATTAAGAGATAATAAAAAAAATTAAAATACCCTACCCTTTAATTATTTCTAAAATATCCTTTTTTTCCTTAAGTCCTTAGAAGTCATTTTACAAAAGGATAAATTTGTCTTTAAAATTTTGAAAATAAGGTAGATGGGAAAATAGGACAGGTGGGTTGGAAATAGCAGCACTCTATCAGAAGCCATGCTACATCCAAGTTGAATAAGTCAAGCTAGACCGCATAATTAAGGAAACAAGGTAACATATCCAAATAATCTCTAATCTAATTGGATTAGCACCAGTTTAATTAAAGAAACATAATGAAAATATTTGGTTATAGAATCAGATTAAGTGCAACGCAGCCGCCGAACATGCATAAAATAGCATTAAGAAAACAGTTAAAACAATATGAAACACTAACACGCCAAGGAATAAGATCTCTCCCATATATGTTCCCACTGCCTTTGATTATGATGTGAAGAAATGTCAATAGTCTTTTGTATCATTCATGCATAAAATTCTTTTTCTACTAATGATTTACATATTATAAGAAAAACGCACGCATCATTTCTAGAATTGACATCATGCATTAGGTTAATAGTTAGCTAACCAGGTTGAAAATGGAACCTTCCACAGCCACGGCCCACATGTGACAACATCTACCAGGGTTCCTTTTAATTAATTGACAGATATTTTATTTGTCAATTTCCAGAAGGTTCAACGAGAGCTGAGTTTATTTAATCAATTGCGTGGAGAGAGAGAGAAGGTTCGTTTCTTTGGCGGCTTTCAGTCTTTGCTGCTGCAAGAAGGAACCTTAAGTTGTAATCAAGTGCGTCAATGAAACGTGTTTGCTTTTAAAAATGTCATGGAAGACCCGCGCTTTCAAAATCAGACTGCCATCATATCCATATAATAGTCATGTTAATGTTATATATATAGACCTCCGAACCCATCACAACCAAAAGCATCAAAGTTTACTTACAAAAATTAGAAACAAATCATTCATCTTCTCAATTTGCTTGAAACAATGGCATCAAGTATCTCAAATCACGAGAACTCATGGGCTGATCAGTGGGACTACACCAACCCAGATCCCTTGCCTGTTTCTGAGACCAAGAACAGCTCCGGCGCAAAGGCGAAATATGCCAAGAAAGTTGAAGAAGGGCTTGGAAAAACAAAAGAAGTGGCATCAAATGGCATGAACAAAGTGAAGTCAGGAGCTCAATCGGGTTTCCACTGGATCAAAGACAAGTACCAAAAGACAACCGGAAAGCAGTAGCTAGCTGCATGCAGCTTTGCCTCTATCATCTTATATGGAACATTTATACATATTACATATGTATATATGTATATGCTACCATCTTATCATTCTTTAATTTTTATGACTTTTTGTTGTTGTTATTGTATTTCGTATTTGTATACGGATTTGATTTGATCTGATCTGATTCATTATATTCTGGATATTGATTTGATTTTTCTGTTTCCAAAATGAGTCCATGGTTCAATAAACAAAACAGAGCTTCCTTCATGGAGATCAATACAACTTCAAAAAATTTTGAAGCAGTAAATGAGGATCAAGAGGTAGAGAATATATATGTTTTATTAATAAGATACTGAAAATTTGTGTGTATAATGACTTTTAAAAAATGTTTATATTGTATGAGGTTGTCCTTTCGATTAAATTTCTGGTTCTGCGACTTTGTTAGTAGTTACGCACGTTCTTGTTGACTTGAAAAAAGGATGTTTCATTAACCAAAAAAACAGAAATTATATGGAAACTTCCATCAGGCCATGGGTGACAACAGCCACGGTTCCTTTGACATAGTTTTTAGTTTACCCAAATAAGGTTCAACGAGATCAGTTATTTACTTGTGCTGAAAGAAGGTTCTTTTCTTCCTCTGTCAAAGTTTCTGTTTTCTGTACAGCGTTAAGTATTTCACCATTAATATAAGTATCACAGATCGTGTTTAGTTTTCAAAACACAAGGAAGAACCGTGATTTGATTTCTCTCTCTCTCTCTCTCTCTCTCTCTCTCTCTCTGAAGAAAACTCTGGTTTTCTTCATATTTCATATTCGAGTGCAAAAGGGTTTTGTCAATGGGATCAAATAGGCCGTACGACACCCCACAGGGAGATCAAAGGGATGACAGCAACCAAGACCCTGCTTCTGCTTCTGAGACCAGGAAGAGCTCTGGTTCTGCTGATTGTGCCAAGGGTAACTATACTAGGAAAGTGGAAGAAGGCTTTGACAAAATTAAAGCCGCAGCATCAAATGGTGTGAATAGGGTTAAGATCGCAGCCCATTTGGGTCTCCACTGGATCAAGAGCAAGAGCAAGACAAGCCGAAAGCAGTAGCAGCATCTTATCTTTAATCTTTGTACAACATACATGCACGGCCATTGCCATTCTTTAATCTGAGTCGAAAAAGAGAAATTACCACATTTATAAATTGTTCTTTTTATGACCTTTTACATTTATTTGTAATTATAGTCGGTTAATTAATTGTGAAGGCTCGAAACCATGCTTTGATTTATTTTGCTGTTCAAAATTCGAATGGGAATTACGATTAGTTGAGGCCAACAAACCCTCTCTTTCTTGGGTCTAAACAAAAACAAAAAGCCAAAAAAAGAAGAAAAATAACAATGTTTATGGGGGTGAAATATATACTGTACAATTACAACCACTTCAAATAACAAACTTCGTAAACATAATTCCTTGTTCCATCCACAACTATATTCAATAATTTTATTAAGCTCAAGTGAAACAGATTGCTTACCCATAAGTCTTACGAATTTGCAATAGACAACTACGACTTGATAAATGATGTAATACATGCCTAAGTGGGAGGTACAAATCTAGTGGAACTTGAATTTAGCATCGTAGAGGTCTGTCGTAAGTAGGAGGTAGGGAGGGGCAGTGCTCATTCATGTTAGTGTATGGCTCTATGGTGTTATATTCAGGCAGTTCCATCCGATATTCACCAAGGATCTGGCAGAATGGGAGCTTTTCGTCCTTGCCATTACACCAACTTGGCAAGCGGGTTTGGTTATCCTCAAAAATCTTAAGCATGTACGCATCACGAATCTGTGACCAAATTTAATAAAGCCATGTCATATATAGTCACGGTTATGAAAGTTAAAAGATAACTACGTGAGTGCAAAATGACTTACAGTGAATTCAGTAACTTGGATAGAGTTGGAAATAGGACCAAAAATCCCAGCTTCTTTATACATTGCAAGAATAAAAGCAACACATGTTGTAGATTTGCCATCACTGTATACCCATTCATCTTGTTCTGGAATTGTAAGCAAATGATCAAAGGCTATTTCACGATTCTCAACCTCAGTTAGAATCTCGTACAGGTCCAAACCCTAAAAGCACACAGGTGAGAATTAACATCAGATTCAATATGGAGCAAGCAGATAATATACTAAAATAAAATTAGAAGATGCTTAGGGGATTTAGAATTCTAAGAGCAGACAAACGTGTTCATTCCCAAATAAACAAAACAGAACAAAATGGCATGGCTTAGGATTTTAAGTAAGTTAATTTAATAGACACCAAAACTAAATTGAAAAACCTCAAGCAAAGCATAATTACCTCCGTCCCCAGCCGCTTGTTGAGAGCTTCATTCCACATATTTGCAGCATAAGCAGGCTGCATCCTGGTCCACATAGACATGACAGAAACAACCTGAAAACAGGAGCTTCCAATTAGGATAGAAAACTTAATTGACCCAAACCAAGTATGCTCCATCTAAAAAAACATATACGTACATACATATATACATGCACATGTGGGGAGATGAAACGCAAGATGAAATTCGTGCATGCATGCCAGTGAAATAACAATATAAACTAACAACCGACACAATGATATCCTGCCTCATCTCTGTAATGTTTAATTGTACTAGGACACACAAAAGTTTAAAGCAGTAAATGCATACCAAGTGAGTATCAAGAGGAGGAGGATAGTTGTCGGCCATAGTGTCAATCCAGCTAAATATCATATTGTGATAACCATATGGCTTCCCTGACATACTCCGAGCATATTCCCATGCTGCCGTAGAATTGAATTTTGCACGCAATTCTGGATGCAAGGGAAGCAAGGCTATTTGTGGATTAGAACTATCCTTGAGTGCCAGTTCCCACCACTCATCCCATGGAACCACCGCTATAATTTCTTCACCCTGCAATATTAATACATGTAAAATGTCAAAACAATCCAACACTCAGTCAGATCAATCACAATAACTCCACAGAAAGAGAAAGTACTAACCAAAGCTGAAGAAACTTAAAAATCTATGCAACATTGTCATCTATTTAATTTTTTTCACTACACAAATGCCCATAATCTGTTTAAGTGACACTTCAAGCCCAATTCAACTATCACTTCCACTCTTTGCAAGAACCAAAACATTTAGAAAGCTTAATGTATATTCCACATAAAGTCCAAACCAATGAAATCAGTGAGTTACTTCTATTTAAAGCATGTACACAAGGTGCAATTGTTTCTCATACTACTATTTATATTTCAACCTTAATGAACTATAAAATGTCCTTAATTTGATACCTTCTCATTTTCATGTCCTGATTCGCCAACCCATAGATTGCCCATCTCGTCCTTCAAGCACACTGCTGTATGGCCAGCAAATGCTCCAGTTACCCATTTTTCCAATGTCTCGAATCCACCCCATCGACCACGGATCTTTGAAACTGCTAGAAAATCACCAGAATGAACATCTTCTGGATTTATAGTTGTCTGCCAAGGCTGAGAACGTTTTTCAAATGTTGCACCCATGTGCTTCTTCAAAAAATCAATGTTTGCACTTTGACCCCAAGCAGTGTTAGAAAACAGAGGCAAAACATCTATTAAAGAAAGCATGGTCCCCAGCATCCCTGATGGCATGAGAAACACAGAGACCCCATGCTGCTTTACCTGCTCAACAGTCATCACAGTGTCATCTCCAAGCAATTAAGGTTGTCAAGCTTAATGTTCAAACAGATTACAGATAAATGTACATACATATTCCAACTCTGCCTGCTCTTCCCACGAGTCGAATTTCAACGTATGTTCTCGAGCAGAGAAGTAGTAATCCCATGTTATCCGATAGGGTGTTGCAAAAACATAAAGATCCATACAAGCCCAACTGTGTGCCTCAGAAGTCTGTAAAAGAACCAATTTGACAAAATCAACCCCAGAAACTACACAATTTACAATAATTCACTACTCGGAAGTCCAAACCAAGATTACCATGAACTAATTTCAGCTCATGTTAAAGCTGAGCATCCAATACAATTTACTCAATTGAAGACAAAACCAATCAAAATCACAGAAAAAGCATTCAATAGCTCAAACGGAGATAAAGACCAAACCTTGAGATAGAGAACGCCACCTCCCAAATTGGGTTTGTCCCGATCGCCTTCGGTGAACTCGAGCCGAGCCTGGTTACCAGAAAAGCAAGCTCCTTCCCATTCAATTGATGTATTGTCGGGAGTCACCGACCCGATAAAAGAAGGCAACAAATCCACAGCACTGTGGAAATTGTTGAGCACCGGCCACGATATCTGACGTGGCAGAACCGGAAGCACATCCTTGATCCTGAGGGGGACCTTGAGAGCGTCCCCAAATCCTAATCCTAACCCTAGAGAGCACAACAGCAGCAGTAATAGCCATGGAGTGCGAGAGAAGAGAGACATTGATGGATGGATAGGATCAGTTTTTCCCGGAGCAACTCCAATTGATCAGAAATTTGGGTTGCAGGGAGGGAAAACCCGAACCCTAAATTTTGGGGACGTGGAAACGGAGGAGTGTCAAAAATGGAGGAGGGCGAGGAGGTGACGATTATCCATGGTCGTCTCGTCTTGTTGGAAATGTTCGGATTTTGGATTATTCTTCGTCTTTCTTTGACTTTGCTTATTGCTTTGCGATTGGGTCGTTCGTACTTTTCTATGTTCAACGTCGCGGGAATGTTGGCTAGCTTCTGTCCGTTGGATAATTTTTAAGAAAACGACACCCTCTGCTTCACTGCCCCGTTTCGCATATAGAAACGCCACCCTCTCAGAACGGAGTTACGGAACGGTGCTTGAGTTTTTTTTTTTTTTTTTTGGGGTCAGACTTGAGTTTGATTGATCATTATAATTTATTTCAACTCCACATGACTAGCCCTCAATATATTGGCATAAAAACTTAAATTATTATTGAAATTATTGAAATTGATTTCATGTTTATTATGAAATTATTTTCACATAACTAATAAAAAATTATAGGTGTCCAACATTAAAATTTAAAACGTAATTTAATACCTGAAAACCAGGAATTATATTGATAAAGAAAAACATTTGATCTTGCACTCTAACATCTCTAATTTGTAGACATGTAAACAGGTCAAATTTAGATCAGATATACCTCAATCTAAATTCAAATCCATTTATAATCGAATTATCGAATTCGGACTATCGAATTGCACCTATCAATCCATATCTCTTACGCCTCGGATTCAAATCGAATCAAATCGAATTATTATCAAATTTATTTTGTGATGGACAAAAAATCAAATTTTCATTAATAGCTTTGTTCTTTTATTGTATTTATCTACTTTTTAGATCAATTTTTGATATTTTATCATAAAAATTAGTTTTAATTGTATTTTTAGTGCATATAAAACTAAAATTACTCATTTACACATATAAAATATTAATATAAAGCATAGAAAAATTAAATTATATTGCATACTAAGTCGGATCGGATCAACTATAGTCTATATCAGATTCCATTTATAATTGGATTATAGGATTCGGAATGTAATTAGATTATCAAATTGAGAAGTCCAATTCATCTCCTATTAATTACACCGGATTCAGATCAAAATCCGATCTATTGATAGATCTACTAATTCGTGACTTTTCTCATACCATGTAAGTAAACATGTTATTACATTGAAACAATGCATCTACCCAAAAAAAAAAAAAAAAAA